AGGGCCCATGTGGCTCCTGCTGAGCCAGGCCTCTGCCTGGGCCTCCCTCCCTCTGCCAGGGCCTGTGCTGGCTGCTCCATGCCTCTCGTTGATGCCAACCACAGTCCCCAGAGGCATTTCACAGAAGAGGAAAAAAGCTCGAGGAAACAACACAGACTCCCAGGGTCAGAAGCACAGGCTGCTGCTCCTGTCCCTGCCAGACCCCGCGAGCTGCCCTCCCTGCCAGTCAAGGGCAGCAGCTCCTCACTCGGGAGGCCTGCCCTGTTTGGGAGCCCTGCAGTGGGGACTTATAAGCATCATGCCTGTAAAGCAGCAGGCGGGCAGTTTTAGTAAAAAAACAAAAACAAAAAAACACACACAAAAAACTGACCATCTTGACAGTTACAACCCAAGACAGCGGGGGTGCTAGTGACAAGTAGGTGGCAGGACCTTGCTGTGGCAGCCCACAGTCGGGAGGGAAGGGGGTCTTCCTGACGGCTCACCACAAACGCTGTGGCCGTACCTGTCTCCTTGCCCGGGATCCGCGTGGTGTTGAACATCCTCTCCATCTGGTTGGAGCACATGGGCACGATGCCCAGTGCCATCACCTAGGAGGGAGGCACAGCATGGCTGAGGCAGGGCCTCCTCTCCCTTCAGCCCTCGACCCCAACACAACTCACAGGCTTGATGTCCTCGCGGTCCAGCTTGCGGCGGTATGTGATCATGGCGTGAACGATGTTTCCCAAGCGGGCAGCCTGCACGTCCGTGTTCTTGATGAGCACAAAGTCCTGCGAGAGAGATCCGAGGCTGCAGGGCAGTGTGACAAGTGTTGGGGGCCACCTGGTTCCCCTGCTTGTGGCTGGAGGGATCTTGTCCCTTTTCCCCAGTCTGTCCCGTGCTCACTGTCAGGTGAACCTGCCAAAAATGAGATGCCCACCTGACTCCGTCACTCCTCGGCCCCAGCTCCAACCTGAGCAGTTTTTCCATAACCTATTTGCTTGTGTTTTGTTTAGTTTGCCTTGAGAAAGGGGTTCCCACCACTAAAAACAAAACAAAAAAACCCAGCTTAAAACCTCAGGTGCAGATGAGTTGTGTGTGAGTTTCTGGGAAGACAGGTGTGGGGAGGAAGGGAAGGACAGCATGAGATTTAGAATGAGCTGTGGCCTAGCCTGTGTGGCTCAGCGGTTGAGAATCATCTCATGCACCAAGAGGCTATAGCTTTGATTCCAGGTCACGGCACATGTCTGGGTTTCGGGCTCGATCCCCAGTAAGGGGTATGCAGAAGGCAGCCTATCGGTGAAGTTTCTCTCTCATCTAGGTTTCTATCTCTCTCTCCCAATCCCTTCCTCTCTAAAAATCAATAAAAACATTTTTAGAAAGTGAGCTCTGGACAGTGGGAGCACTGAGGGCACATGTCTGTGTGATCCATCCTGTGCACAAGCCGGTCCTGGGGCAGGACAAGGGCCAGTCATGCAACATAGGAGCCAATGTGGCCTCCCGAGTGCTGAGAGCGGCCGCTCCGGATCCACAGTGACACCTCGGCAAGCCTAAGAGAACTAACTCCCTGGTAATGGCATCAGGATGGCTGTGAGCCCACAGCCGGAAGGCCACTGAGGGAACCCAGGAAGGAAGGGACAGCGCCCGGGCTGGGCAGCGAAGTGAGCCCGAGGGCCCCTGCGAGGGGCTGCCGAGTTCTTCGGATCCTCAGTATCCCCATCGCCCCTAAGTTGCTTCCTGACTATTCTCCGGGGGCCTCTCCCATCTTCCTTTTCCTTCAGACCTCACCCCAGAATCCCCCCTTGCCTGTGGAAAGGCCACCAGTGGCTACCTCTTACCATCACATAATAGTTGCTGTTCACCATGAGGGGGTCCCTGCCTCGAAGGTAGATGTATTCTTCCCACCAGTCACTCACCTGTGGGTGGGTGCGAGGTTAGTCAGGGCTGGGGTAGAGGGCAGGGTACAGGCAGCCAGGATGTGAAGGGGGTGAGGGTAAGCCTAGAAGGGGACTCACATAGTTAGTTGCCCACCACGACTTGAATACCAGATACTTCTGCAGCCTGGGGGCAGTCTTGTCCTGGAATTCCTTGGCTAGTACTTCCATGCGCTGATACTTCTCGTCATCCAACAAGGGCCGCACAGACTCGAGGTACTATCCGGCCAGGTTACCGTCAGTGTGGGGGCCAGACAGCAGAGGCTGCCTCTGTCCCGACCCTGTTCTGACCCAGCCTCAAAACCGCTCTCAAATCCACTCTTTGAAGGGGACAAATCCCAAGTCAGCCTACCCTGCCCACCACGATGCCTGACATGGGCCCTTACCCGATGAATTGTGGCTTGCACGCTGGGCACAGGAAGCTTGGGCAGGGACGTCTGAAAGCTGTATAGCATGGGCCGCCCGCTGGACAGAAGGCGGACACAGGCCTGGGGGTGCAGAGCAGAGTGTGTTGGGCTGGGAATCAGGAGATGGAATGGAAACAAACTAGCCAACATCCAAGGAGCTGGGCCCCCAAGCTCTCAAAACAGGGACAAACCCACGTGCAGGCACCAGTGCCCCTGCCTGTCCCCTCCAGCTCAGGACCCCAAAGCGGGTGCTCGGGTCTCAGACCAGATGCCTGAAGCCCTCCACCACTTCCGCTCACCGCCCAGACTTTGGTGCTGCGGCTGGTGTGGCCGTGCGCCTCAAACATCCACCCGTGATAGGAGAGCAGCAGCTTCAGGGTTTGGCGGAAGAAGAAGATGCCCACGATCCAGACCCCCGTGGAGAAGATGGCCATGCTGACCAGGGCCCGTGTCTGTGGGGTCTGGTAGGGGCCAAACCTGTCGGAGAAGGGGAGAGGGGAAAGGGCTGCAGGAGGTGCACGGGAGGCCAGCCTCAGGGGAATTCTGACCCTGCACCCTCCACAGCTGTGAACCATTTGGGGGAGGCATCCCCCTAGGTACACTCACAACTAAGTGCTACATATACACACACTAGGGCCTGAGATGATGGTGGCCAGGGGAGGGCTGCTCCTATAGCCTCTAGTGGCTGTCGCCCTGTGTCTGCCCGGCTCACGAACCCTGGCTTTGAGGCTCACCCAACCTCTTTGGTGGCCCTGCTCCTCACCTCTCAGGGAGGTGTTTCTGGATGTAATAGACCAGCCCATTGGAGATGTCCAAATTGCAGTAGGAAGTGCCCACTGTTGCCATGACGACAGCCAGCCAGCTGGTAGGGCTGCCAGGATACACACCTCTAAGGATGCCATTCTGTGGAGCAGAAACAAGCACTCTTACCAGCAGCAAGCAAGCACCTGTGAGGTCCTGGTCTCCGCCTGAGAGACTTTCCCCTTTGGCCACCTGCTGTGTTCTTACTACTTTGCTGGTCTTCCCCCCTCCCACGCCCCATACCTGCAATACCCAGTTACTCAGCACCTGATGCTACGTCCCGCACACCTGTCTCCCCTCCACACCTTGAGCACACCTCTGGTTTCTGCACTGCTGGAGCCTGTTCCCCAGCAGAACTGCCAGCCAGGCTTGAGGTGGAGGACCTCCACAATAGAGCAGCAGCTGACACCCAGCCCTGCCTCCGCAAGGCTCTGTTCTGCACCTCTGGCAGGAAGAGGCCAGGAGAACCACCTGTGCACACCTTGATGCGAATCAGACGTTTCTTCCAGGCATTGATCTCAGTCAGGTAGAGGTGTTTCAGGGCCTCCCGACTGAGCCGGAAGTCGAACCCATCCGGGGTCACAGTGAACTGGAAGGCCACTGCCTGGTGCGCTTCCGCCATCCTGGGTGTTGGCTGGCACCTGGGAGGGAGCAGGAAGGTGTTTGGGTGGGCTCAGGTCTGCCCCGCCCCAGCCTGCCCCCGCCCCTGCCCCGACCAGCTAGTTGTCATCCAGCCAACGGCCTAGGACCCCCGGCCCCCGGCCCTGCCAACGGCGGCAAACCCTCGCGACCGCGTTCAGGGCAGGCTCCGCAGGAGTCAGGAAGGGGTCAAGGCCTGGAAAACTTCAGGATCCTGTAGGGCAGTGAAGGGCAGCCTCGGGGTGGAGGCGAGGTGCCCGGCAGCGTTGTCTTCCGGAGCGCGGCGGGTCCGGGGGCCCCCAGCCCCGACCGCCAGGGACCCCGCGCATCCTCGCCCCCGCACTGCGCTCTGTGCCGCCCGGGGGGCCTGCGTTGCCCCCAACTCCACTCACAGCTCTCGGGTTCACTCCTGCCTGCGTGTGGGGCCAGTCGCTCTGGCCCGTGTCCCCGTGTCCTTCAGGCCGGCCACCCCCGCCCCGCCCTCACCGGAACCTGACACCCTCTCCCAAATTTGGGTTGAGAAAACAGATGCGGGGCGGCAACCAGAACCCCTCCCCTCCATGGCGGAAACGGGGAGCGGGAGGGCAGCTTTCGGCAAGGTGAAGATTGCTCAAAGGTCTGGGAGCCCGGCGCGGAGGGTGGGGGTGGGGCACAGGGCTCACGTGAGCGGGTGGCATTGGAACTAAAAATAGTCGAATGTAGGGGAAAGGTCACCCGTGTCAGCTGTGGGGCCTGTGCCCTGATCTCCAGGGCGAAGGGCTGGGCAGCCCCACCCAGAGCGCACTTTGCACCATTTCTCCTGTCCCCTGCCCAGTTCCTCGGGGATTTATCACTTCTAAGCTGGGCCCGAGGTGAGGGGTAAGGGAGGGGCCTCCAATCGGCAGAATGGACCCGGAACTACTTTCAAGCCCAGAGCACTGAACAGCCATGCTTTTCAGGAGGGAAAACCGAGGCTCAGAGCAGTGGTGAAATTTGTCAGTCTGTGTGCATCCTTGTGGTTACTTTCTGCTGGACTGAGCAGGGCGAGAACAGGGTGTGAAGTCAGAAGCTCGTTTATTGTTTCAAGGTACACAGCCCAGGGGTTCCCGCCCCTGGGGACCTGCTCAAACTGGGGGGCAGAGATCACCCCCCTCGCCGAGCTCACTGGAGGCTCAGGGGTCCCCAGGGCCTCCTGCTCTTTGCCCCTCCCCCCAAGGTCCTGCAGGGGAGGCTCTGGGAACGTCAGAGGAGCTGGGGGGTGGAGTCAGGATGGGAGTTGGAGGCTGGTCAGCTGCCCCTTCTGCTGGAAGTACAACTGGAACCGGGACTGTGCGTACTCCTGGGGAGGAGACCACCCCACACACTGGTGAGCAGGCCTGGGAGGAGCTACCACAGCCCCCGTCTGCCCACAGCCTCCCAGGGCTGCCCTGAGGCAGGACCAGAGGCCCCTGGGACTCCTCCTCCCCCACCTAACTGGCTACCTGGGCTACTCACCAGGTAACCGAATTCTATGGTGGACATGGATGCCTGGAGGATGGACCAGAGACCCCAAAAGAAGTGGGACGCCAGAGCATACCTGAGGGAGGAGGGGGAAGCAGGGGGATTGGGAGCACATCTAACTTCTCCCCCACTGCCCTAACCCCTACCCTGTCCCAGCGCCTCCCATCAGCCCTGCTCCCCCACCCCACTTGGCGCTGGCACCGTCTGCCTCTTCCAAGGCCCCCTTTTCTCGGCACCCTGCTCCACCCCGCCCAGCCACCCTTCCTCACCGATTAGCCTCTACTAGCAAGTCTTCTTCCAGTTTCCTCTGCTCCTCTGGGGAGACGATCTCACCTTTCTTTGCCTCTGCCAGATAATGGCGAATGAAATGGAGCTAAGATCAATAGACCAGAGTCAGGAAATGGGGAGCATGGAGCACTTCCTAGTTAATCCCCTTCCTCACCTCTCCAACCAGGCTTCACTTTCCTTGTTCACAGGCCAAGTTCTACTCCCCAGCCTCCAGCCACATACCTGCTGCCCCTGCGTGGGATAGTCTGCAGGCTGTGCTTTGTAGAAAGGCCACTCCTCGTGAGTATAATCATAAACCCACTCACAAAAATGGTTCCCAATGTCAAAGCCCCTGGAGGAATAAGGTGGACACTCAGCCCCCAAATCTGCTGGGCGGCTGGGCGGCAGCGATGGAGGCCTGGTCTGAGTTCCAGGGCTCTGTGGGGACAGACCAGTGGGAGCCATGGGTCTCACCGGTAGTTGTAGCTGCTGTACTCAAAGTCGATCAACATGATGCTGTCGGCGTTTTCTGGCTCTGAGAGCAACAAGATGTTCCCTGGGGGTGCAGGGGTACTGGTCACGCCAGGGCCCGAGGGCCCCTGCACCTTAGATTGGAAGACTCAGATGACCTTTCCTACCTTCCTGGATGTCGTTGTGGCAGAACACCACTGGTGATGGGGTGGAGTCAAGCAACTTCCTGCAGGCGACAGGGGCAGTGTCTGAACAGGAGTGACCAGGGGAGCCAGAGCCACCCGTGAGGGCCCTCAGGCAAAGCCAGTGGAGGCCTCTGCAGGTTCTCAGCAGTACCTCCTGTGCTCTCTGCCCCCTCCCCCTCCTGTCCTGCCTGCCCTCACCTGAGGTTGCCCATCTCATCCTTCAGGCTATACATCTCCAGCAGGTCCATCTGGGGGAGGCCAGCGGGGGGCAGGTCCAGGATCTGCTTTAAGTACCTGAAGTCCAAAGAGTAGGATACTCACTCCACTATCCCTCTACACTGGCTCTCCTGTCCCAGCCATTTCCCCATCACTGTATGGCTTGTCTGGCAGATGTTTGGAAGCATGTTCTGTGAGAGACCATGCTAGACCCTGGGACACCTGATCCACTAAGTGGCCGGCTGGACAGAGTCATGGACACTTTGTCAGAGCCCAGCCTGAGGGTCCAGCCAGGTGCACAGGAGCTCTCCGGAGGCACCTGACTCACCGCTCCATGGTCCCAAACAGCCAGTGGGGCTCCTTAGTGAAGGGCATCTCCATGCCATGGAACCGGGCCATCTTCGTGGCAATGGCTGCTGACAGCATGGGCTCTCGAAGGTCTCGCGTTTTCAGTGGCAGGCTCTGCACCCAGGAACCTTTCAGGGTGGTGAGGGGGCTGGGGCAGGAGGGGGTAGGGATGGGGCAGTGGGGGAGGTCAGGGATCTGTGGGCAGACACTGGGAAGGGGCTGGGCTGGGGAAGGATGTGCCTCATACTGGGATGTACTGCTCCAGCCGACCCTCTGGAAAGACTCCGTAGAGTTGGGGCCCCAGAGACCGCTCCGCAAGGATGGCGAACATCACACTTTCAAGAACCAAAGAGTCCACACCCTGAAGGAAGATGGACAGCGAGGGGCGGGAGTCGCACGGCCAGCGGCTGGGCAGAGCGCGGAGGGTCTGCGTCCTGCTCCCACACAGCGCAAGCTTCAGCCCCAAACCGGCAGGTTCCAGCCCCTGCGCCTCGGCGTCTCAGCCTCGGAGGGGCAGGGCCACCTGCCAGGCCCCGTGGGTAGACCTCGCTCCGGCCTCACCTGCAGGATGGCCCCGTACAGCCGCAGCAGCACCTCCCGCGGCTCCTCGCCGACGCTGGGCAGGTGGTCCGGCAGCGAGCAGCGGAAGAGCAAGTTGCTGAGGCCCCCGCTGCGGACCACACGGGGTCTCAGCCGCCGCCCGCTCCCGCCCTGCCCGTCCTCCCCGGCCCCGCACGCAGAGGCTGCAGAACCGCGGGGCATTCTCGGGGCCCTTGGCCGCCCCGCCCCGACCCGCAACTGTCAGGGGCTGACCCCTGACCTCCCACCTCACGGGGTCAACTCGCAGCTCCTCCGGCCGCACCCGGCGCCAGGCCCCGCCCAGGTACTCCCGGCACCACTGGTGGGCTCGGCGCTCGGTGTCTCGCGACTGCGCGGAGCCCCGCCGCTGGTTCGGGACTGCTTCCGGGCACTTAGGTTGCCGCACGCCGTCCTTGGCCAGGCGGCCGCCGACACTCCCGCCTCCCGCCACGGCAATCCCCTCAGCCGCCATGGCGAGGGCTCGGCCCCGGCCCGGCGCAACGCCCGGCGCGCTCAGCCTCTTAGGCGGGCTCTGCTGCGCACGGCTCTGCTTCCGGCCCTTCGGCACCCCTCAGGTCGCGCTCGGACCTCTCCGGCTTCGTTCGGCTCCTGGCGACGCCACTCGGCTCTCTCCGTGACCCGGAGCGAGCCCTTTCGGAGCCAAATCCTGCGTGTCTTCTCTGGCCCCGCCCCTGCTCGTCACGCTCTGGGCGGGGCCGCAGGAGAAAAGGAAGCGGCGTCGCCAATCAGAAGCGTCCTGAGCGGAGTCACGCTGGCCAATTGTTGTGAGCGGAGCGTCACGCTGGCCAATCCCGTGGGCGGGTGTGTGGAAGGGAGGACGGGCTTCGCCGGAACCCGGAGCGGACCGGCGGCGTGGTCACCAGCGGCGGCGCCTCACTGAGGCTTGACGATCCGAGCGAGCGCGGTCACACTAGGGGAGCCTGAGAGGGCGTGGCGCATGGAGATGCCGAATGAACACTGGGTGTGATGACACATGTGACCCTTAGGACGATTTTAATGACGCCACGAACCTTAGATCCCTAACCACCACCGAGACCTTGTCGGGAGGAGCGCACCTTGGAGAAGCTCTTGTCCCGCTTAAAACCAGGGCCAACATGCCCCACCCACTGCCCCTCTGGTCACCAGACCTAGAACCAGTCACAAGATCTAACCCCGCAGGGAAAGGCGCGGCCCATGGAGTTACGTCACCTCCCCTGGGCCTCCTCGGCCTCCGCTGCTGTCCGGGCAACCACAAGGCCTTGACCCCCAGGGTCTGTTGGAGGGGGCGGTTTTTTTTTTTTTTTTGGGGGGGGGGTAAATAGATGGGCAGCTGGCGAGTGGTTTGATTTGAATAAGCAGAGAGAAATCAAGAATCAGTAGCCAGAAGATGAATGTCAGTTGCTGCAGCGGGAAATCAAAACCTCGCCGTTTTATTTTATTTTTTTAATAAATTTTTATTGTTCATATTATTACAAATGTTCCTTCCCCTCCCCCTCCATTGCTCTCCTCCACCAGGTTCCCACCCCACCCTCTGCCCTTTCCCCACCCCCCATTGTCCTCATCCATAGATGCACAGTTTATGTTCAGTCTCTTCCCACATCCCTCTCTCCCCTTTTCCCCAAGAATCGTCAGTTCACTCCCTTTCCATACCTCTGATTCTATTATATTCAACAGTTAATATTGTTCATCAGATTTTTTTTAATTTCCTTGGTTTTTAGATTCACTTGTTGATAGTTATGTATTTGTTGTAATAATTTTTATCTTTATTTACTTTCTTTTCTGAAAGAACCCCCTTCAGCAATTCATATAATTCTAGTTTGGTGTTGAACTCCTTTAGCTTTTTTTTAATTAGTGAAGGTCTTTATCTGACCTTCGATTCTGAGTTATAGCTTTGCTGGATAGATTATCTTTGGCTGTAGGTTCTTACTATTCATCACCTTGAATATTTCTTGCCATTCCGTCTGACCTGCATGGTTTCTGTTGAGAAATCAGCTAACAATCGTATAGGTGCTCCTTTATAGGTAACTACCTTCTTTGCTCTTGCTACTTTTAATATTCTCTCTTTGTCTTTTGCTCTTGGAATTTTAATTATGGTTTGTCTTGGTGTGGTCCTCTTTGGATTCCTTTTGTTTGGAGTTCTGTGTGATTCCTGGACTTGTAAGTCTAATTCTTTCACCAGGTGGGGGAAGTTTTCTGTCACTATTTCTTTCAGTATGTTTTCGATATCTTGCTCTCTCTCATCTTCTGGGACCCCCATAATTCTGAATTGGTTCACTTAAAGTTGTCCCAGAGGTTTCTTACATTATCTTCAATTTTCTGGATTCTCTTCCCTTCTAGCTTCTGTGGAGGAGTGTCTTCTGGCTCTTTTTGTTCCAAATCTTTTACTTGATTCTTGCGACCTTCCATTCTGTTTTTAGGACTGTTTTTAGGAGGCAGAGAGAGGAATCCAAGATGGCTGCCCAGGTAAACACCTAGCCGCAGCCACACACAACAATTTCAATAAAATACAACTAAAATATAAAATGGACATTACCCAGAACTACAGGAAAGTCGACTGACTGGAAATTCTACGAGAAGCAAGGAGAAAACCAGAAAGAAGCGAGGAGGAGCTGTAAAAGCCTAAGGTACAGAGACATGCGGTGCGCGGAGGGGACGGAGCCAGAGAGGAGGATGGCTGAGTGCCTGGCTGGCGTTCCCTAGCAGGAAGGAGATAAAAGCTCCGACTGTGCTGGGCCCCAGTTCCGACTGCTCTGAACCCCAGTTCTAGGCCAGACCCCAGGGATCCAGGCTCAAACAGAAAGAGCTGGGCTGTAAGGCGGAACCCTGGGGGAGCTGCGAAAGGAGGTACTGGAGGCGCGCACATTGTGCGCAGAGAAGGGACGGTTGGCTGTGCCACGGGATTGCCCTGGAGGGAAGGAGACAGGGACTCCAGACTGCTCTGAATGCCACCTCCAATCCCACTTCCACCTGAACTGAAGCCAAAGCTGTAGGCTCCACCCTGAAACTCCGCCCCATCTGTAGCTGTGAAATGCGACAACGAAATAGGTCACAAACTAAAGAAATGGAGGACAAAAAGCGACTGGATAGAGTTCAAATCTATGCTTATAAGGTTTTTCAAGAATTTCCTAGAAAAGATCGATAAAATCTAGGAGGATATGAAAAGAGATCAACTAGAATTAATAAGGAATCAACAAGAAATGATAAGGGATCAACAAGAAATAAAGAATACATTGTCTGGAATAAAAACCTCGCCGTTTTAAATCTGAGCCAGGCCTGAAACCTGCAGCTCACCGGCTGAAAGGGAGGCCTGATCTAACAAAGATGGAATATACAAATGGTCAGCAGGAGGGTGGGGCAGCGATTTATGAGTTGGCCCAGGGCGCTGAGAGCTAGATGAGGGGGCAGGGCAGCAAGCTTTTTTTTTGAGGGGGGCGGGCAGCAGGCGGAGAGCGCCTCGAGATGCTGGCGCTCAGATTGGTGCACAGGGCTACTAGTGTTACATAAGTATATACAAAAACCTTCCTCGATCCTTCTCCAAAGGGACCAAGAGCCTCTTAACAAAGTAACTGATTTACTTTGGAAAAGCCCCTCCAGACCTTTCAGGGCCGTTAGATACAGGATCTGCGCTGATACTGTGTAGGACATCTGAAACATAGTGAACCACTGGATAGAAGAGGGGTTCTGGGAGTCAGGTGATGAACCTAAGCCCTAGGGTTATTTTTCTGGCCCTATTGAAAATTTGGGGGGGGGAGGGGTAGTACCTCGCAGAGCCTGTATATATGGATTCCTGGCCTGTAGGATTAGGATAAGGATTATGGGTAACAAGAGCAAAGGGGGAACACCTGAAACTCCTCAGCACACTCACCTGATCCTGGACAGTAAATCAGAAACACCTGGGATTGTAGGGAAGGTGTCACTCTCAAAGACAAAGTGGTAGTTAGTCCCTAGTTAGTCCCTAGTTCGTCCCGTTCAGTTCACCTGGATGGCCCTTGCAAAACCCAGATGGCTTCAAGTAAGTGATGGTGGCCTACCACACAGCAGCTGTGTGGACGAAGTGTCTTTAATGGGACTCTGGCTGTGATCGGGCACTTACTGGTATGGTGAATAGTCTTCTCAGTTTCTAGTAAAGAGAAAGTTTCCAAAAGCAGTTCACATTTATAATGGGATAGCCAAACACATCCAGTGTCTTGCTTCATGACAGTTTTAACTCAGTCACAGTATAATCCACTGAGACCTTGATCAGGCATCCCACATAACATCGAAGACATGCTAATTGGACATGGTGCAGAAAGAAGTGACAAGTGCTCTATCCTTGTTGAGAAAATGCATGCCAGAGAATGAGAATGAAGTCCTCAGAAGTTCTGGAGCCCGTCAGCAGTGAGGTTTTAAGGGGCGCAGTGTTGTAGGGCAGACCAGGGCATCGCCCCCAAGATAAGGAGGTTACTGTGTCTTGCATGAAGAAGGGTGGCACTTGATGCAGCTCTGGATTTTGGAGTCGGCACTTAGGAATAATGTTGTGACCCATTTATTGGGTGCTAGAAAGGGGCTCAGAGCAAAGGGAGGCTCTGTTGGAGGTTCGAATTAGAGGAGGGGTTTCTTTTTTTTTTTTTTTTTAATATATTTTATTGATTTTTCACAGAAAGGAAGAGAGAGGGATAGAGAGTTAGAAACATCGATGAGAGAGAATCATCGATCAGCTGCCTCCTGCACACCCCCCACTGAGGATGTGCCCGCAACCAAGGTACATGCCCTTGACCGGAATCGAACCCGGGACCCCTCAGTCCACAGGCCGACGCTCTATCCACTGAGCCAAACCGGTGCCGGCTAGAGGAGGGGTTTCCATGCCACTTAGAACCAATGGCTTATTTGTGGTAAATAGAGACCCTGTACAACAGCTTTGGCGGGATCCAACAGAATTGCAGAGCACCCTCCTAGGGATCTGAAGCAAGGCCACAACTGGTGCAGTGGAGAACTACTCACTGATTGAAACCAACTTCTGCAACACTATTGGGCTCAAGCATAGACTGAGTGCCTGATTATGGGATATCTGATGACCATGTGATTGAATCTTGCCTGTCCTGAGCTAGATACTGACTGATCACCAAGACAATAGGTTAGGGAAGCTCAGAAGCAACTCAATGCACAATACAAAACAATTGGACCCAGGCTTGTCCAGAGGGCAGCAGTCTTTTACAGGAAGGAAAATTCATGTCTGATTCACAAATGGGTTAGCTTGCTGTGTAGATATGAGCTGAAAACAAACTACTGCTGCCCACCCCATTCAGGGTGGGGTGGCTCTAAAAAACTATAATGAGGGGAAGTCCTCCCAGGCAGAGCTTCAAGCAGACACTTGGATGTCCACTTTGTAGAGAGGAAGTGGAGTGAACAGAGTAGTGGTGGGCTTCTGGGTCCTGACAGATGTCCTGCTGGTTGGTCAGGGAACTAGAAAGAGCAAGAGGGACTCTTAGAGACAAGGGACTCTTGGAGAAGAAGATGGACCTATGGGAGTGGTCACAAGTGGACGCATCTTTTTTTAAAAAAAATATATTTTATTGATTTTTTACAGAGAGGAAGGGAGAGAGATAGAGAGCCAGAAACGTCAATGAGAGAGAATCATCAACCAGCTGCCTCTTGCACACCCCCTACTGGGGATGTGCCCGCAACCAATGTACATGCCCCTGACTGGAATCGAACCTGGGACCCCTCAGTCCGCAGACTGATGCTCTACCGCTGAGCCAAACTGGTTTCAGCCACAAGTGGATGCATCTTTGTGCCTCATGTTATACCCACTGCAGAGGGGTTACTCAACAACAAAGTGGATGGGCAGATGTCCAAGCTTCTGCCCTTGGCTACCCCATGCTTGTGCAATGGGCCCGTGAATGGAGTAGCAAAGGTGGTAGAGGTGCTGGGTATGCCCACCAAAATGGGCTCCCTCTTATCAAGGTTCATCTAATTATTTCTACTGCTGGATTTCTGACCTGTTAGCAGCCAAACTCAGTGTTGAGCTCCTGATATGGTACCATCCTTAGATGACTCGCTGACCAGTGATTCTACCTAGGAATCAACACCTCTGGGTGTGGGTTAGCCTTTCCTCTCAGTGTCTCAGAGTGGCATCATGTTGTAGGAGCTTAGAGTGCACACAATTTACCAGCATGGGATTGCGTATAACATCAACTCAGGCCCAGAAACTCATTTTACAATGAAAGGTATGCAGTGTGTGGATTGCCAACTTTCTGTATTGTCTCCAAGCAGCCAGTCTCATAGGTAGATGGAATGATCTCTTAAAGACTTAGCTAAGGCCTTTTGGGTGAGTGGATAGAGCATCGGCTGAAAGGTCCAGGGTTTGATTCTGGTCAAAGGGCATTTGCCTGGGTTATTGGCTCAACCCCCAGTGGGGGCATGCAGAAGGCAGCCAATCAATGATTCTCTCTCATCATTGAAGCTTCTATCTCTCTTCCACTCTCTTCCTCTCTAAAATCAATAAAAATATATATTTTTTAAAAAAACTTAGCTAGGGAGCCAGTGTTTGGACAGTGTCCTGAGGAGCTGGGGTATGTACACTTGTGTCAAATAGGCTCCCGTCCAGGCCTATTTGGGTCTATGACACTAGCCAGTGAAAAGATTTGTGTGAAAATGCCAATTTTGTTCTGTATTTATTATTTCAACTCCAATTCATTGTCCCACTATTTGAGAGAGAAAGACACACACACACAAACAGACACACACACACATACACACACAGAAAGAAACAGTGATGTGAGAGAGAAATATTGGTTGCCTCCCATACATGCCCCAACCAGGCCAGATTGAACCTAAAACCCAGGTATGTGCCCTTGACCGAGAATGGAACCTGAAACCTTTCAGTGCATGGCCTAACACTTCAGCCACTGAACCACACCAGCCAGGGCTGCCTAACCTGCCTTTATCAACCGGCTTCCTAGCCATGAACTACCCTCCAATGCCAGATGACCCTGACCAAATCTAATTCTTGGGCTCAATTTCAGATTTTGCTCTTCTCACACAGCCTGAACCCTAAACAATGCCAGTCACATAGCTGGAGCTCAAGGAAATTTTCCCAATGGAATGAGCACAGCTTCCGGGGTGGAACTCCCCCCCCCCCCCCGTGCCCAGCAGTCCCTCTCTCCGCCCGAATGGTCTGCACTAGATACTGGGAGTTCAGTGTTAGCCCAAATCAGCATCCTCTTTGAGGTCCACTCTGAATCCAGCCTGGATCAGCATCCTCCGCAGAGGTTTCTTTCCTTCCCCAGCCTGATCAGCACCCAAGGCTGGACAGCTCCTCACGCCAGATCAGCACCCAAGGGCGGACAGCTCCCCCAGGCCCGAACAGTCCAGCCCCTTCCGACGCGCTGCCCAGCTCGGGACCCCAACTCTTCTGTTCTGGTTCCTTGAGGCGTCAGTGCAGCTGCTGGGGTGCACCCACGCCGCGAGCCCCTCCCCCAAACCCCAGAGAACCCGACAGAGGTCTGCAAACCGGGCCGCCGCCTTCCCCGACTTCCCCGCCGCCGCAGCATCCTAGCTGCGGACGGTCCCTCCCGCCCATCCCCACCGCAGACCCTCCTGCACCGGAACCCCCGTCTCCGCCAATCCGCTTCTCACCCGCACCCCCTCCCCCCAAACAAACCACGCACTCGATCCTTCCCCAACCAGAGCCTCTGGTCCAACCACCGCCTCTCCTCCAACCAGCTCGCCCGGCGCGCGGCCCCTCCCGCCCTCGGCTCCGGCGCCTCCGCTCCCTCCCCTGCGCGCTCTCCGCCCGCCCGGCGTCCTGCGGGTGGCGAGGTGTGTCGCGGGCGGGGTGTCGCAGGGCGTGTCACGAGGTGAGGGGGGAGCCGGGGACCAGGGGCCACGCGGGGCGCCTCCCTCCCCCGCAGGCCTCTCCCCGGAGAAGATGGCGGACCGCGCGGAGATGTTTTCTCTCTCCACCTTCCACTCGCTGTCGCCGCCCGGCTGCAGGTACCAGGCCTGGGGCCCTCCCCTCCCTTCCCCGTGGCCCTCCCGGCACCCTCCCGATTCCGCCGCCGCCCGCCCCCCTACTCCACCCCAACCCCACCCCACCCCCACCCCTCCGCCTTTGGGAACCCCAGCCCAGGGCCCCGCCGGTCCGAGGCCTGCGCTCCTGACCTCGCCGCCCTCTGTGCGGGGTCTCCCGGTCTCTGTCCTCCTGCTTCACCCCCTCCGGCCTCAGTGACCACCCTCCGATGTATGTCTCCCCAATTCCCCCTTGTTTCTCCCCCCATCCCCCATTTCCCTCCGGGATCCATGCCAAACCAGCCCTGCGGGCTCGCCCCCAGGGTGCAGGCTGTAGGCCCTGGCGCAGCCTCGGGGCGGCCTGGCCAGGCGGGAGCCACCCTCTACGCTGAGTGTCCTTTTGGCCTTGCTGGGCCGCTCCTCGGTGGAGGCCAGGCCTGGCGTGTGCGGCTCGGAATGGGACCTGAAATCAAACCTGGCCCTGGGGGAAGAGACCACGGTGGGGAGAGGGCCTTCCCCCGCAGGAGAGGAGAGACAAAGTGGCCAGACGGCTCCTTGAACAGACGCGACCCCTCCCTCTGCTTCTGCGGCTGCAGCTTCAGCCTCAGCCTCAGCTCCCCTCCCCCCTCTGCTCGGCCTGACTCCCCAGAGGCTCCGGCTGCCATCCAGAGGGCCTGGGCTGAGCCCAGGAGGAGTGCTGAGAAGAGGGCAGAGAGACAAGGGGCCCCTCAAAAAGGGGGGGGAATCCCCTGGAGAACAGAGATTGGGTTTCACAATGACAGCAGGACATGGATCTGGGAGTCGGGGGCTGTGGAGACCTTGGTGTCTAAGAGCTGAGTTTCCCATGTCCCCTCCTGGGACTGGCTCCCTGGCACAGCACCCACAGTTGCCAGCTCTCGCGGAGCCCTGTCCTTGCTCTCTGACCGAGTCTCCTCTCTAGGCCTCCTCAGGACATAAGCCTGGAAGAATTTGATGATGAAGACCTGTCTGAGATCACCGATGACTGTGGCCTGGGCCTCAGCTATGACTCGGACCACTGCGAGAAGGTAGGGTGGGACTGGAGTATAAACCTCTCAAGGGGAGCCTCACGTAGGCCTCGCTTAGGGGTGACTTGGGGTTCAGAGTAGGTCTGCACTCAGCCTCGAAGCAAGAGACCCTTGGTTGCCTCCTTCCCCTGGGTCTCTTGGCCTGGGCACTTCCTGGAAGGCACATCTCTTTCCTGATAGATGGTAGGCCCTGCCCCAGGGTCCTCCCCAATGGTCCTCCCTGACCCCCACCCGTGGACTAGCTTGGGGAAACAGAGATGTGTCCATGCTTCCGGTGCCCTCCGGTGCCCTCTGTCTTCTTCCCAGCCCCGTTCCCACCTGCCTCATGTCTCCCCTGAAACTTTCTCCCCGATCTCCTTCCTTCCATTCTCCTCCTCCAGTCTCTCCATGCTCTGTTTTCATTCACTCAAGACCAGTCTGAGCAACTGCCATGTGGCAGCTGCCAGGTGCCTCCAGGTGCTTAAGAGAATGGGACTGGAGTTACTGGTGTAACTCCCGCAGGAGTTACAACCTCGTAGGGGAGAAACATAGGTCAGGCCGGGACCAGTTTGGCTCAATGGATAGAGTGTCGGCTTGGGGACTGAAGGGTCCCGGGTTCAATTCCGGTCAAGGGCATGTACCTTGGTTGTGGGCATATCCCCAGTCGGGGGTGTGCAAGAGGCAGCTGATCGATGACTCTCTCTCATCGAGGTTTCTAACTCTGTATCTCTCTCCCTTCCTTTCTGTACAAAATCAATAATATATATATATATATATGAAAGACAGGTCAGAGCCATGGCTCCCAAGGGTCAGGGGCCAGGCTCCACTTGAGGACACAGTGAGGGGGAAGAGAACTCCACCGAGACTCTCCAGTGGCCATGGCCCAGGAGCATGCCTTAAGGAAGGTGGGCAGGAACTGGGCTGATGAGGAGGTGGGAGGGAATGGAAGAGAGAGCTGGCCCAGGGATGAACTGTTGGAGGCCCTGAGGTTGGTACAAGTTTGGTGGATCCTGGTGCCAGTTGTCTCTTCCTTCCTGCATTTGTCAGATATTTACTGAGCCTCAGCACTGGGTAGGTCCTGTTCTGGGGTGTGGGGTACACCAGTGCTCAGTATGGACATTCTGCCCTGGTGGGGCCTGCTGCTTGGTGGGGGAAACAGGCCAAATGTCATGTAATTGTGAATCGCAGCCAAATTGCTCTGCAGGAAAGAGGGGTGCTGTTGACGGTGATGGGGTTGGGGAGTGAGATGAGTCTGGCAGCTGGGTTGGGCCACTCTGAGGATCTCTGTCAAACCAGGCTCACGCATTTGGGCCCTGACCAAGAACCAGAGTGATCCCTATCTATCTCAAGCAGATTAAAAAACAAAATCAAAACTGGTCTGTTGGGGAGCAGAGACCTGGAGGTTTCTCTTCCTTGACTTATAGCTTTCTGCTCTCTCTTTTTCTTCTTCTTCTTCTTCTTCTTCTTCTTCTTCTTCTTCTTCTTCTTCTTCTTTTAAAAAAAATATTTTTATTGATTTCAGAGAGAAAGAGAGAGGGAGAGATAGAAACATCAGTGACCAGAATCACTGATGGGCTGCTTCCCGCACGCCCCCTACTGGGGATCGAGTCCACAATCTTAGGCATCTGCCCTGACTATGAATGGAACTGTGACCTCCTGATTAACAGGTCGATGCTCAACCACTGGGCCACACTGGCTAGGGCTTGCCTTCCCTTTTCTGACATCTGGGACCCCAAGCCACCATCCCACCCTCACCCAGCTCTTCCCTGTCCCTCCTTCCTGCAGGACAGCCTCTCTCTGGGCCGCTCGGAGCAGCCGCACCCCATCTGCTCCTTCCAGGATGACTTCCAGGAGTTTGAGATGATTGATGACAATGAAGAGGAGGAGGAGGAGGAGGAGGAAGAGGAAGAGGAAGAAGAGGAGGAAGAGGAGGAAGAGGAGAAAGAAGGAGAGGACAAAGAGCGGGGAAGACCTGGCTCAGAAGCCGGTACTCTGGGGCCGCTGATCCCCTCCCCCTCCCTGGAGGAGCCCCACAAGCACAGGCCCACCACACTGCACCTGACTCCCCTGGGAGCCCAGGTGAGTGCCCAGCCCACCATCCGGGACCCTGCTGCCCATGGCAGCCTGTAAACCCACCCCCGCCAACTGGAGCCCCTCCTGACAGCCTCCTGCCCCCCCCTGCAGGACTCCCTGAACAACAACGGGGGCTTCGCCCCAGGGCCCCCAGCCTCCTGGCAGGAGACAGTGCTGTGCTCACCCCCCCAGGAGCCACTCCCAGGTGAGCGGGACTGTGGAGGCCCAAACTGTGGAGGCGGGGAGGGAGGAGCAGAGGCTGTGGGCCTGCTGATCGAGGCCCCTCCCCGCCCCGCAGAGCCGCCAGCCCGCCGCCCGCCCACCGCCGCCCGGCCCCGGGCGCAGTCACCTGGGGGTCCAGGTTGTGACTGCGAAGGGAACCGGCCCCCGGGCCCGCCAGCGCCCAGTGAGGCCTCGCCCTCCTCGGACCCCGGCATCGAGGTGGACCTGGGCAGCGGCACCAGCGGGGAGCGCGGCCGGCGCAGCAGCCAGGAGCTGTCCTCGCCCGGCTCCGACTCGGAGGCGGAGGCGGCGGGCGCCGCGCACCTGGGCCGCATGATCTCGTCCATCTCGGAGACGGAGCTGGAGCTGAGCAGCAGCAGCGGCCGCTCCTCGCACCTCACCAACTCCATCGAGGAGGCGTCCTCGCCGGCCTCCGAGCCCGAGCCCGAGCCCGAGCCCGAGCCCGAGCCCGCGCCCGCGCCCCCGCGCCGCCCCGCCTTCCTGCCCGTGGGTCCGGAGGACACCAACAGCGAGTACGAGTCGGGCTCCGAGTCCGAGCCGGACCTCAGCGAGGACGCCGACTCGCCCTGGCTGCTCAGCAACCTCGTGAGCCGCATGATCTCCGAGGGCTCCTCGCCCATCCTCTGCCCCGGCCAGTGCCTGTCCCCTGCGCCGCGTCCTCCTGGGGAGCCCAGGGCGCCGGCCGGCGGAGCCCCCGCGGCTGCGGGCCCGGGCGGCGTGGAGCTGGTGGACATGGAGACGCTGTGTGGGCCGCCGCCCCCCGCGCCTCCCGCGCCCCGGGCCGGCCCCGCGCAGCCGGGGCCCTGCCTCTTCCTGAGTAACCCCACGTGCGACACCATCACGCCGCTGTGGGCGGCCCCGGGCCGAACCGCCCGGCCAGGCCGGGCCTGCTCCTCTGCCTGCTCGGAGGAGGACGAGGACGAAGAGGAGGAGGAGGAGGCCGAGGACCAGCCGAGGCCTCCAGGGGGCAGGGGCGCGGGCCCCGAGGCCCCGCTGGACGCCTCGCTGGTGTACGACGCGGTCAAGTACACGCTGGTGGTGGACGAGCACACGCAGCTGGAGCTGGTGAGCCTGCGCCGCTGCGGCCTGGGCAGCGGGGAGGACAGCAGCGAGGCCAGCGAGGACGAGGCTGCCGCCCTGCTGGACGAGGGCCAGGGCCCCGAGGGCGCTTCCCCGGACAGCCCCGACCTCACCTTCTCCAAAAAGTTCCTCAACGTCTTTGTCAACAGCACCTCGAGGTCCTCCAGTGAGTAGGAGGTGGGAGGGGGTGGCCCCAGGTCCCCAGAGTGGCCAGGGCCCGATAATTCTCTTTTGGGAGGCGTGGGGGTGTCCAGCTGAATCTGAGGAGCCACCTAGGTGGGGGGTAGGGGCAGAGGCTGGGGAGGCTGGGCGTTCTGACAGGGATGTCCAGCAGGGGTTGGGAGCTGGACGCCCAGGAAAAGGCCTTGTGTTTCCCCCAGATCCCTGATAGGCTGGGGAGGGGTGAGTGGGCTCTGCCTCCCTCTCTGACTCAGGGTCAAGCACCTGGGAGGGGAGCCTGGCCAGCCTGGAAGTACTTGCCACCCCTTTCTGAGCAGCTGTCTTCTGTCTGCTCCTCAGGCACCGAATCCTTTGGCCTCTTTTCCTGTTTGGTGAACGGGGAGGAGCGAGAGCAAACCCACCGGGCTGTCTTCAGGTACAGCCTCTGTCTCATCATCCGTCCACAGACGTGATGGGACATGGGTGGACACAGCCCACAGTCCGCCTCCCCCTCCCCCTGACCTCCCTGCCCCTCCCGGCAGGTTCATCCCTCGCCACCCCGACGAGCTGGAGCTGGACGTGGACGACCCAGTGCTGGTGGAGGCCGAGGAGGATGACTTCTGGTTCCGCGGCTTCAACATGCGCACCGGGGAGCGAGGGGTCTTCCCTGCCTTCTACGCCCACGCAGTGCCCGGCCCTGCCAAGGACGTGCTGGGTGAGGCCTGCCTCCAAGGAGCATCTTGTCCCTTCAGACCCCCAACTCCCCTGACTTGGGCCCCTTGTGACCCCCCCTTCCCTAGGGAGCAAGCGGAGCCCCTGCTGGGTGGAGCGCTTCGATGTGCAGTTCCTGGGCTCAGTGGAGGTGCCCTGTCACCAGGGCAACGGCATCCTGTGTGCAGCCATGCAGAAGGTCAGTGTGAGGTGGAGTCCCCTGCCCCCGGAGGGACCAGACCTCTTTGGAAGGTTAGAGGGCCCTCAGGGGACAGCCCCACCCAGCTCATAGCGGTCCCTCATCACCTGGTGTCTCTGGGCAGGTTCTGTGGGGCCTCTACCTTCCTGTAGCCCATCCTCGTTTTCTTGTCTGAAAGTCCAGACCAGCTCTCACTGAGCCCCCCTGAGGGTCATTTGCTCACTCGTCATGGACTCAGTGGGTGGTTGGTGACCAGAAGCTCATCTGCTGTCCTGTGGTTGAGACCACGGGGACAGGCAGGGCGGGCTGGGCAAAGGGAGGGTGTGGTCCTGGCTGCAGGGTGGGAAGAAGGTCCAGGGAGGCTGAATGCAGAGAGGTGACTGGCCAGGACCCTAGCCCACGTGCTCCAGAATCAGCCCTGAGAACCTGCAACCCAAACTAAAATGTTCCAGTGACGAGAGAACCCTGATACCCCCTTCTCCTCCGGCTTTCCCAGATCGCGACTGCCCGGAAACTGACTGTCCACCTGCGTCCTCCTGCCTCCTGTGACCTGGAGATTTCTCTTCGGGGGGTCAAGCTGAGTCTGAGCGGTGGACCAGAGGTGGGGTGCGGAGCCAAGGCACAGGGAGGTGGGTGGGGTGGCAGGAGAGGCTCTGGATGACGTCTATCTCACTGGCCTCTGCCCTCGGCTCCAGTTCCAGCACTGCAGCCACTTCTTCCAGATGAAGAACATCTCCTTCTGCGGCTGCCACCCTCGCAACAGCTGGTGAGAGCCTCGCCCTCCCCTCGGCCCCCGCAACCCCGAGGGCTGCCCCCTGGCCCAGGAGACTCAGGTCAAACCGGCTCCCATCTGGTCTGGGGTGCAGACAGACAGGCACACAGACGAGTGGGTGCTGGAAGCCTCAAGGGGCCTGAAAGTCTGTGTGGGGCTCCCGTGAGCAGACCTGCAGAGATCCAGTAGGGTCTGCGGTTCAGGAGGTGACTAAAGACCACTCTGTGTGCTCGGAAGGCACATCTGATGGTGACGAGGGTCTTCCAGGGAGACGGCTGAGCCCTGGTGTGGGCCAGGGCAGTGGATTCTCAGTAGCTGGGTGCAGCTGGAGGGACACAGTGGTACCTGTGCCCTTCTGACCATGCCAGGAGCTAGTACTTGATCCCACTGACGATAGGGTGACAGGGTGACACGGTTGGGTTGACAAGCTGGCTCTGGCTGCTGTGCGGAGTGGCTGGACCCAGGTGTGGGCCAGGTAGCTGCTGAGGTCATCCAGGTGCTATGTCCTGGGCATTGGGGAGGTGGAACTGGCAGGACCCGGTTTGATGGGATGTAGCTGCACTCATGTCATCTGGGTGAAAGGCTGATAGTAACCACTTTCCAGGTCAAGGGCTGGCAGTCTGGAGGCACCATATCATCTGCAGATGGAGGGAGGCGGTAGCGGCCAGGGTCACGTGGGCCCGGAGTGTGGGAGAGACCTGAGGGAAGGTGTCGATTCAGAGCAGGTGGATGACTGCAGCCATGAGGGGACGAGACAGCCAGGCCTAGTGAGTGACAGGCGTGAGAGGAGAGGGACAGTGCCAGCATTATCCCCAGCAGGGGTGGGGGTACAGGCATCCTGCCCAGCCCAACTGCTGCCCAATGGGTCCCCGTGTCTGGGAGGAGGTAACCTGAGAGACAGGCCACCAGGGGCTCCCGAGGATCGAGCTGCTGGAGGAGGACACGCTGCTGCCGGGGCGGGGCTGGCAACAGGTGCCAACCCCCGGCAGGTCAGAGCCAGTCTGGCTGCATCCACTGAGGACAGAGATGTGTGGTGGGACCCACCGTGTGGAGGCTGCTTTGAGGGGTGGAGAGCTGGACAGAGTGCCTGGGCTCAGACCAGACCCAGACGTGTGGATGGGGGCCGAGGACAGCACCGACCACAGGGCAACAAGAACACCCTTATTTCTCAACAGAGAGAAACTGGCTGCCCAGCTGTGGCCTCCAAGCGAGGCTGCCAGGCTAGAGAGAGACCAGGTGCGAGTCCTTGAGATAAGGGTGGTCAGACCAGTTGTTCCTGATGTGGAGGCAGAAGGGGAGGGGAGACTCAGCTGGCCCCAGAGCTGAGGATGCAGTTAGGAAGTCACGTTCTCCGACTAGTTAACTTGCTTCATGGTGGGATTGTTGGCAGAGCAGGCCTGTGCCGGCTGTTGTACTTGGATGAGGGCTTGGAGTTCACAGACTGTCACAAGCTGGCTGTGTGTCCTTGGCAAATTTTCCTCTCTGTGCCATCGCTGCCTCACCTCATAGGGCTGCTCTGAGGATCCGGAGTGAATAATCTCAAGTGCTTAGAATGGTGCCCAGTGCTTGGTAAGCAGCATCGGCGTGTCGGTGATTGTGAATGAGATTTTGTTGTTGTTATTAATCGTCACCTGAGGATATTTTTCCATTACCAGAGTTGAACCCGGGACCCTTTAGTCAGCAGGCTGACACCATCCACTGAGCCGCACCGGCCAGGGCTGTATGTGATTTTGACCAGGGCCTTTGAGACGAGGCTGCCATGAGCTTGTGGACAACCAGCCGTGATGTTGCCACGGGTTTCTGTTTGGAGGAGCCACAAACGCCAGTTCAATCGACACGGATCGATTGGGCACAGTGGGGGGTCTCGAGTCTCTGGCTGTGGGATGCTCTGGAGTGATTTTCACTGATGTCGTAGGTGAGAGGACAGGCAGACATGAAGCAGGTCAGGTGGGGACAAGATGAATGACAACCAGGTGCAAGGTTCTGCTCCAGGAAGAGGGTTTCGCTGAGGAGGGGGCCGCTGTTTGGTGTGCTGGACCCCAGGCTCAGGGTGTCAGGTGACACACGTCAGGTGTGACTGGCTGAGATGCACTTCCGGAAGGCAGGGCAGAGGCCTTGCTGTGGTCTGTGGTCCAGGGCTGGCTCCAAGAAGGAAGCGGCTGCTGGACCCCTGACAAGGAGAAGTTAATACTGTAACTCCCTGAGGTGCCTGTGCTGGGGCTGGACCCCAAAGGTGCCTCTGCATCCTCAGTCATGTGACCCACACATTTCTCCTGTCCCCACCGTCTGCCCGAGCCCTCAGGCCAGATCACCAGTGGGGGGCTGAGGTGACTGCCCCATACTGACAGCCTCACACTGCCCCCTCTGTAGCTATTTCGGCTTCATCACGAAACACCCTCTGCTAAGCCGCTTTGCCTGCCACGTCTTTGTCTCCCAGGAGTCGATGAGGCCTGTGGCCCAGAGTGTGGGGTGAGTGGGGCTAGAGGGATAAGGGTAGGACCAGCTGGGGGCCAACCAGGCTCAGGAGTGGCGCTGGGGAGATGGGCCGGGAGGTGAGATTTGGGGACAGAGGAGTGGGGGTGCAGTTTGAGCAGACAGGGAGAGGGAAGGTCAGATGAGAAGCAATAGAGGTGGGTGGGAACTTTGAGCAGGAGCTGGGGGATCCTGGTAGTGGAGAGGTGCAGGCACCATGCCTGGGGGAAAGGATGGGTGGGAATGGGGGGTAAAGCAGGACGGCTGAAGAGTGACCCCTTGGGGACGGGCAGGCCCAGGCGGTGGGAGGGCTGAGGGCGGCCCTGATGGCGTGGCCGGCGCTGTCTCCCCAGCCGGGCCTTCCTGGAGTACTATCAGGAGCACCTGGAGTACGCCTGCCCCACAGAGGACATCTACCTGGAGTAGCCGCCCACACTCGGAGCCAGGTGCCACATGGCGGGGCACCTCAGAGGCCGCCTGCTTTGGCGAGGACTGGATTGGGGGCATGTGGGACCGCCGTCCAGGGAGTCTTGGGGGCTCTCCTTGCTCACTCTGCAGGGGCTGCAGAGGGAGAGCCATGTCCCCTGCTTTCCCTCTGATCTTCTTTCTCTCTGTGTGCCTCCTTCCTCTGTCTGTCTCTGCCCCCCGTGCCTGCAAACTCGGCCCTCTGCTCTCTACTCGGGGTCAGAGCTGGGAGGGTGTGGAGGCGCTAGGTGACTGGCATCAGACTCCCACGAGTCCCTCCTGCCCCTCCCCGTGATGTAAAAGGAATTTTAATTTTTATAGTGAATCCCCAGGGGTCACCCCTTCCCTGACCACAGGGACAAAGAAAGGGACCCCCACACTGCCCCACGTGGAGCTCAGGGGGAAGCAGGGAGGGGTCCCCAGAAGGGCCTTAGGGATACTAGTTATTGAGACTCATCCCAAGCCCCAGACTTTGCTCAGAGAAGGGTACCCTGCCCCGTCCCCACCACACCAGCGTCTGCTTTGCCGCTGCATACTCCCCGCAGTCCAATAAACTCTCTGCTTGGTGTGACCCTGTCTGTTTCTGGGGGCACATAATGGGCTGGGGGCCCAGGCGCTGCCCATGGTGGTGGGCACCCAGACCTCTGGGTGACGGAATCAGGAGAAGCTTCACCCATTAGTGCTCTCCGAGATCATGCCAGGGTCCCTGGGTGCCACCTTGGGCCCCCAGGGGTTCTCCCTGACACACTCCATTGGCTGGAGAGACAGTGCTGGGCCCCCACACTAGAGTGCTGGGCTGAAGCGGGGTGTGCCGGCAACTGCAGGGCTCAGGTCAGTTTGTGCATATCATGGTTGTGTGTGTGTGTGTGTGTGTCATGACTGTGCGCATCACGAGTGTGTGTGTGCGTGCATCATGAGAGTGTGCGCACGCTTGTGAGTGTGTGGGAGAGGGCAGCAGCTGCTTAGACCTTAAAATTGGTATTAAAGACTCTGCCCAGAGAATAGGAAGACAGAAGTTGACCATGTCTCACGGGGCCTTCGGCTTCTGTAGAAAGGGCTTCCCTGGCCCCTCCCTCCATGAGACCACTCTCAGGGGCTGAGGTCAGCAGGCTCCTCCCCAGGGGGACATGTCCTCAGAGAGGGCAGGGTGGGTGCAGGGCGACCCAGGAAGCAGCACCTTGCCCTCCCCTCCCACCCTCTACCCCAACACTCAGCATCCGACCCCTGGCTTCCAGGTTGTCTCATCCCCTCCCCTCCCTTCCTTTTGCTGGGGTTGGGTTAGTATAGAATGTTCTTCAGTACCAGTTATCATTCTGTTGTCACGGCCGCAGGAGAGGCTGAGTGTCTGGAGCCTGCCATCCCCAGGGAGCACCCAGTTCCTTGTTAGGTCTACGGCCCCCTCCTGCGGAAGGGCCAGTAGTGATCTGCCCAGAAATGATTCCCAGGGAAGGGTGTCCAGTCATCTGCTCCCATCTCTGGTGCCCTGGGCTTGCCTTCTTTCCCACTCTGGGAGTTTTCACCCTCCCCATCACTTCCTTTTTGGGGAGACCTAACAAGGAGTCAGGTGCTTCCCAGACGGCAGGCTCTGGACACTCAGCATCTAATTGGCTGCTCCTTGTTGCTGAGTGTTTGCAAAGTGATGACAAAGTGTTACTGCTCTTGCTATGTCCCTCCCCCACAACTGCTCTGTCCAGCAGGGCCCTGACTGCCTGTCTGCTCAGGTGACACCCCAACCCTCTCCCCCTGGGGTTCCTCCTCTCTGGGGGGGAGCATGCCTTGGGCCCCACGTCTGTGACCGCCCTGTAGAGGATCTTCACACAAAGGAGGGGGCTGAGGGGTTCCCCCTGTAATTGCTGCTTCTACACCAGGCCGTGGGGTAGCATGGTGACAAGACTCATCGGCCATGGAAAGGCAGCTTAGAGTCAACTTGGTATGTATGATTCGTGTAGACATGGAGGTGGTGTGGTACACGCACTACCACATCGCCTGTGTTCGACTGAGATGCAGGTGTTATCTGGAGCATCTAAGGAGCACACACTAATTTTTTAATTAAAAACATTCAGGGAAGAGGTGAAATTAAATATTCCATGGAAACGTCCCCTCTTGTTCCCCTTATAGTCACTTGTGGGAGAGCAAGGCCAGGAGTGAGCAGGGAGGGTGCTAGGAGCATGTCTGGGGCCCACACCTGAGCCGACCCTCAGAGGCAATGTTTTTCGTTTTTGTTTTTTAATCCTCACCTGAGGATATTTATCCATTGATTTTTAGGGAGAGTGGACGAGAGAAACATCGATGTGAGAGAAACACATTGGTTGCCTCCCACATGAGCCCTGACCAGGGCCCTGATCAAGGAAGAGCCAGCAACTGAGGTACCTGCCCTTGACCAGAATCGAACCTGGGACCCTTTGGTTGGTGTTATGCCCAGATTTCAAGATCCCCAAGGACCACCAGGGAGCCGAGTCCAATGCAAAAAACAAAAGAGCCTTTATTCAAACTCGAGTCTGGTCTCCCTGCCTCTACCAACGCGGCAGCAGCATGCAAAGAGCCCCGAGCTCTGAAAGTGTGGTCTTTTTATAGGCTTTTAGGGTTGGGTTGTGAGGTGATGCTCAGACCACTGAGTTGGCTGGTTCTGATTGGTGGGGCGAGGGCCAGGGTCCAGTTATGCTGGGTTACTTCCCTCTGTATTTCTATTGGCTGATTTAATGGTGGGTTGGGTGATTGATACATTTTATACAAGATGGAAGACACAGTACAAAACGGAGTCAGTCCTGCTCTGCCCTTGAGAGAAGGCCTACGTGCTGGGAAGGGGCCATGAGGCCATATCTCAAGGCCTGGCCTGGTGTCAGCACTGATGACTCTATCTGGGGTACAGTCCACGGCTTCTCTGGAAGCATGCTCCAACATTCTCGCTCTCTTACAGTCGGCAGGCCGACACCCTATCTGACTAGGGCTGTTGTTGTTGTTTAAATATTTCTTTATTGATTTCAGAGAGGAAGGAGAGGGAGGGAGAGAGAGAAACATCAATGATGATAATCATTGATTGGCTGTATCCTGTACGTTCGCTCCCTACTGGGGATCGAGCTTGCAACCCAGGCATGTGCCCTTGACCAGAATTGAACCTGGGACCCTTCAGTCCCAGGCCGACATTCTATCCACTGAGCCACACCAGCCAGGGCAGGGCAACATGTTTGTTTGTCCCCACTCAGCTTTTTCCGGACAACATGGGGCCCATGGGAGAGAAGCCATGAGGTCATGGCCTGGGAGAGGATTATCTCAGGCTTCCAGGAAAAGGGGAGAAGACAGGGTCAGGCTGGTGGACGTATGGCAGTATCTGGGGCCATGGTACATGCGTATAGAAGTGTGTGCTCATGTGGCACATAGGGAGTGCATGTGTGTTCATACAAGAGCCTGCAGGAGGAGGACCATCACACTAACACATTTGAGAAACAAGCACACGTTTCTGCTCCCAAGAGCATCCCAGCAAAGCCCACGTGCAATGGGAGAGTGTACTTCCCTCTCCCGCCCTGGAGGCAGATGTAGGCTTGAACTCGGGGACAGTCTCAGCAGACAGGGGAGCTTCCTGCCTGGTTCAGTTACCTTCCCCCACCAGTGGTTACTCTTGTTGGAACAAGTCCTCTTCCTCTGTGGCATTCATCACAGTTACATGTTTATTTCTATTGAAGCATAAAATACACGATATCATAAAGTGCACACATCTTAAGCGTGTAGCTTGATTGCTTTACACATGTTAACACACTCCAATCAAGATGGGGAACATTGCTGAAACTAGTGTGGCTCAGTGGATATAGCATCGGCCTGCGGACTGAAAGGTCCCAGGTTCGATTCCGGTCAAGGGCATGTACCTTGGTGGCGGGCACATCCCCAGTGGGGGGTGTACAAGAGGCAACTGATTGATGATTCTCTCTCATCGATATTTCTAACTCTCTATCCCTCTCTCTTCCTCTCTGTGAAAAAATCAATAAAATACATTAAAAAAAAAAAAGATGGGGAACATTGGAAGCACTCAAGGTTCCCTCAGGCCCCTTCTCAGGCACAATCCACACCCCCCACCCACAGCACCACAGACTTTTGCCACTGAAAAGCCACGCATGTCTGATACCCCAGGGTCGAGGCTCCTGTTCTCTGTGGGATGGTGGTGCCGTGAAGCGGGATGGATCCCTTTTGGTGAACTGTGCCAGCACTAAGCACGGCGCTGGGTGTTGAATAAACATGGGAACTAACAAAAAAAAGCTCACTACCCAGGTGGGGCCACAGGCCGAGGGGAGGTGCCTGCAGGTGTTAATGCTCCGTTAGTTCTTGCTGTGTACTCAGTCTTGGGATCTGATGCTCAGGGTGTGCCCGTTTCAGTGCCTCTGCCTTAGCTTGAAACGTGGACCCCACTGAGAGGGAAGCTGCAGGCATCGGGGATGCATGCTTAGCCCACGAGGACCAGTGTCTCCCTCAGACCACAGAGCAGGTGGGCCCTCCTGATGCCAATGTCCGTGGTTGTAGGGGTCCCAGAGGAAACTGCCACTCTCAGGGGAGGGACCCCCCCCCAGACACAGCAGGGGTCGGGGCACAGTCAGTGCGGCCCCCAAACCAGACCATGGATGGTGGGAGAGTCACCTGGAGAACACAGAGGTCTGTCAGCGCAGGCCCACCTGAGTGGTCAGGAGCCGACCTGCACGTGCACAGGTGCCCCCACATTCCAACCACGGTCACTCCGGAAAGACCACTTCCAACCGCAAATAACAGCCAATTCCCAGCAGCGGAGCGAACAGCAGGGTATTTCCTTACACTGTGACTCTGGCGGTGGATGGCTAGAGGCATGGGCTTGGCAGCTACACGATGTTCTGTCAGGCCCCCAGAGGACCCGGGGGTCCTGAGTGGCTACTGCCCTCCTGGGACAGGAGAGGCCGCACCTCCGCGGTTCATATCCTCTGCCCACATGGAAAGGTGGGCCTGGGAATGAGGGGATGGCTGTCTGGTCTACCAGGAGGAGGGACAGCCCACTGCGGCCCCGAGCACCCAGAAGGCACTCTTCTCATTCAGCCAACACTGAGGGAGCACACGGGGTCTGCTGGTGTCCTGGAGCACAGGTGCCCCTGCCATCAGCACGCACATGGGGACCATGAGGGCTTCATGCCACTGTGTGGACACAGGTAGGCAGTTGGGGGTCCTCCCTGCAGAGCTTAAGACAAGGGGACAGGAAGCTGAGGGGTGAGGGCAGGCCTCAGTGGACATGGTGGACACTTTGAGGAGCCGAGGTTTTATTCTGAGCCTGCTGTTCTGAGCAGGGATGGAGCCAAACCTGAACTACTTTTTTTTTTTTTTTTAATATATTTTTTATTTTTTTTTTTACAGAGAGGAAGAGAGAGAGATAGTTAGAAACATTAATGAGAGAGAATCATCAACCAGCTGCCTCTTGCACACCTCCTACTGGGGATGTGCTTGCAACCAATGTACATGCCCTTGACCAGAATCGAACCCGGGACCTTTCAGTCCGCAGGCCGATGCTCTATCCACTGAGCCAGACCGGTTTTGGCCAAACCTGAACTACTTTTAAGAGCACTTTGCTGGGCGAATGGCTTACACTGGGGCTATAGGGGAAGCCAGGGGACAGGAAACGTGTGCACAGGCCGGAATGTAGAACTCTGGGGCAGAGGTGGACCAGGGTCACGGTGTCTCAGAAGCTGCTCATGCATCTCACTTGAGTCTGACGGCTCCCAGCCCCTTTGTCTCCCCCTGGAATGTGCTGCTCATCACACACCTCAGGCAGGTTTCTGGTAAGAGCCAGGGGGGTCTTTTCCTGTGCCTCCAGGAGAACCCGGCTCTCTGGGCACTTGGCACCTGCAGGGTCTCCTGCCTGTGGTGTCCTTGACCTCCCCGCCCTGTTCCTGGCCACACAGGTGCTCAGTGCATCTCCCGGGAGGGGCTGGCAATCACAGAAGCCAGGATGCCACGGAGTGGACCCCAGCCCAGCCTCACTGTCAGTGACTCGGACACGACGTCGGATCTCTCAGGCCTGTCCCCTCACTCGTGCACAAGAGGCATAGCACCTACCTCTGGCCACCACAAGGATTAGATGAATCATCATGCCTGCATGTGTAATCTGTTGTTATTGGGGTATCAGGTAAAAACGTCCATGCCTGAGCCTCAGCCAGGGAGGCGGGCCTGGACCAGTGCCCTCAGCGCAGGGGCCCTGGGCAGTGGCAGCAGGAGGGCCAGGGGCTGCAGCTGGGGTGGCAGCACATCTGCAGGGCAGGGTCCTCACCCCGGGCCATCTGACTGGGGCTGAAGGTCATGCTAGCATCAAACTGGGCCTTGAGCAGCTGAAGCTGTTTCAGCGCCTCCAGGGTCTGGGGGGCGACTTCGGCCCCACTCCCCACCAGGTTGTAGTTCTCACCAGGGTCCTTAGATAGGTCAAAGAGCAGTGGGGGCTCATGGGCCGTCAGAGGGCTGGAAGCATGGCAGGCAGGGTCTGGTGTGGTGTCACTGTGGGCGGAGCCTGAGGGGGGCAGGAGACACATCTGTGCACAGAGGTGGGGGCAGACTCTGGGGCCCGAGGGGTCAGCGGGGCCAGGGGAGGACCTTACCCTGAGTGAAAAAGTGGGCCTTGTACTTCCCGCTTCGCACAGCAAAGACCCCTCGGATCTCATCGGGGAAGGGTGGGTAGAAGAACATAGTCTTCCGGGGGCTCTAGGGGCAAAGTCAGGGGCAGGGGTCAGAGCCACAACACTGATCAGCTTGTGTTAGGCCCTGGCTACACCCTCTCAGCAGCAGCGCTTGGATTCCACTCAAAAGAGGTGACCTGCTCACAGTCACTCCAGGGCTGGGGCATGGGATTGCCGGCCCTACCTTGCCTTTGCCCAGCAGCAGGGGGCTGAGGTCAAAGCCATCCAAGGTGACGTTGGGCAGTGGGGCCCCAGCCAGGGCTGCCAGGGTGGGTAGGAGGTCCAGGGAGCTGGCCAGCTCGTGGGTCACGCCTGGGGACAGAGGGCTGTGTGGTCACCCAATTCGCCGTCAGGTTGGGGAAGTGAGGCCAGGGGTGCATGAGGAAAGGACCTGAAGACTGACCGGGAGTGATGTGGCCCGGCCAGAAGGCCAAGGCAGGTTCTCGGACACCCCCCTCAAAGGTGGTTCCCTTTCCGCATCGCAGTAGGCCAGAGGAGCCGCCGTTGGACATCCGCATTGTCTCCGGTCTGGGACACACAGGTGGTATTCAGCGTCTCTGACTCGCCCCAGTGGCTCCAGCCCCAGACGTTTAAGTTACGTGCCCAGAAATGGCCACAGGTGCCTGTCTCCTCCCTGTCCTACCAGGACCAGCTTCGTGGATTGTGGCCTGAAGTCACCATAACGTGGCCAGCATTTTCTGAGACCCCCTTATCCCTGCGATGTCTGTGGTCAGATGGGAAGACCTCAGGCCCACACCTGTGAGGAATCTCCTTCATTGGCTCCCCTGGGGCCTACCCGTTGTCTGAGGTGAAGATGACCAGTGTGTCTTTAAGCAGCCCCAGGTCCCTCACGGCTGTCATCAGGGCTCCCACAGCCGAGTCCAGCTCCAACAGGGAGTCTCCGAATGGCCCACGACCTGAGTGCCCGGCGAAGCTTTGCCCACTGAACTGCGGGTAGTGGGTATGCTGGGGGCAGAGCCTGGAGTTAGCATTGGGCAGGGGTCAGGACAGCCCGGGGCATGGGGCTAGGGTTACTCACGTGGGAGGCGTAGTACAGAAAGAATGGGCGGCCCTGGCGGTGGGCATCAACCATGAGGTCACGGGCGAAAGCCACGTAGCGGGCCTCAAGTCCCGGCAGCCAGGGGGGCTGCGCCTCCACAGTCAGGTTGGCTAACAGCGGCACAGGGACCAGGCCCTGGTCACAGATTCCATTGCAGGGGGTGGCTGGTGGGAAGCAGGTCAGGTTCTGGCAAGGTCCCTGAGGGAAGGGCTCCACTTAGGGTCTAGGCTGTGGGGTGGAGCTGGGAGGTCAAGGGCAGGGGTAGGAGGAAGTGGATAGGGGGCAGCTGAGGGATCTGGCTGCTCCTACCTGGTCATGGGAGTATGGGATGCCCAGGAATCGATGGAAGCCCTGGTGGGGGGGCAGAAAGGACCCCTGAGGCCCCACCCCAAGATGCCACTTGCCAGCCATCCCTGTGAGGTAGCCTTGGGCAGCCAGGATCTCAGCCAGGGTCACCTCCTCCAGGGGCAGGCCCCCTCGGGAGCCAGGCTTCAGAACGCCAGAGTACAGGCCTGACCGAACCGGGAGTCGGCCGGTCAGGAGGGCAGCCCTGCAGAGCCAGTCACACAGTGGGTGAAACAGAGAGAAAGGAAGACGAAGGTGCACCCAGATGGTAGGCAACTATGACCCTCCCTGCAGTCCAGAGGGAACCCGGAGGAACTGGGTGGTCAGGGTGGGCACAGGGTGAGGGTTCCCTGCCCCCTTGCTCACCGGGAAGGTGTGCACAGAGACACTGGCACGTAGAAGTCTGTGAACCGCAGCCCTGCGGCGGCCAGCTTGTCCAGGTTGGGGGTGCTGGATGTGGGGTGGCCGTAGGAGCCCAGGTCCCCGTAGCCCAGGTCATCAGCAAAGATCAGCACAATGTTCGGTGGGTAGGCGGAGGCCAGACCTGCAGCCAAGGCCAGAGCGAGGGCCCACAGCACTACCATGGCATGTGGCACACACAGGCTTGTCACCAGAGACCCTTGGGAAGGAAGCAAAGGGGCTCCAGCAAGCTCTGTCCGAGCCCCAGACCGGGCAGCCCCCACCCACCCACTCCCGTCCTGAGGCCCCAGACCCCATTAATCCAGAGTCAGACAACAGACAACCTCTTCCTCAAGTCCCCCCTCGCTCCCCCACATTGGCCTGGGATCTCACCCCCTGGACACCCCCCTGGACCAGGACACCTACAGCTTCTCGCACAGACCTGAGCCGCTTCTCCCAGGGCTCCGGCCAGGCTGGCGGACAGGGGCAGAAGTCACATGACATCGGCGCTGCGGGAGGGAAACGGACAGTGAGGCGGGGACATGGGCAGCGAAGCCCTTTGCCGGCACTTCCGCGTCGCCCCGCCCGGCCGGCCCGCCCCACGCTCCGGTGACGCGCCGCGCATCCCGGGCGGGGCGGGGCGCAGGGTCCTGGCCGCTGGCGGGCGGGCAGCTCGCACCGTGGCGGGCCGGAGGCTGGGATCGTGACCGGCGGCCGGGCGGGGTGCGGCGGGCGCAGGGCGGAGCGGGTGCGCGTGGGGCCGCTGTGCTTCCAAGCCGTTGGCGCCCGGGGCGCGGGCCTGGGGGCGGCGAGAGGGTGGGCGAAGGGCGTGTCCGGGGCGCCGAGTGAACCAGCAAACCTCCCAGTGAACCAGCAAACATCTGCTGGCTTTTCTTTTTTTCTTTCTTTTTTAAAAAAAAATATATTTTACTGATTTTGTACAAAGAGGAAGGGAGAGAGATAGCTAGAAACATCGATGAGAGAGAATCATCAATCAGCTGCCTCTTGCACACCCCCTACTGGGGATATGCCCGCAACCAAGGTACATGCCCTTGACCGGAATCGAACCTGGGATCTTTCAGTCCCCAAGCCGATGCTCTATCCATTGAGCCAAACCAGTCTCTGCCATCTGCTGGCTTTTCCATCAACACCACTCGTGCTGGTTTTGAAACACTAGATAGCGAATCCTTTCACACCCTTCCCTCCGTGTGTGTGTGTGTGTGTGTGTGTGTGTGTGTGTTTGGGGGAGCGGGGGGAGCATCTGGGTCTGGACAGCCCCAGGGTACACCAATGGGAAGGACCCATCGGAAGAGAAGGAGCTTGGTCCTGGCTCTGTCATGGACAGACAGCCAGCCTTGGGCAGATGACTTCTGTTCCCAGTTTGTTGAGCTGTCTCCAAGTAAGAGAGCCCCACCCCCCCGCCCGCCTCTGGGGCTGTTCGGTGGGTAATATACTCCGTGCACTGCCCCACTCAGCAGCTCCCCTAAGGCCACTGTCCCCCCAGAACCCTCCAAGGGCAGCTCCCTGGCCTCAGGTTCCTCCACAAGCTCAGGGCACTCCTCCGGGAGGAGGACTGGGGTACTGTGGGTACTGACCCTGGAGGGGAGTGGGGGGCAGGGCTGTGGAAGGGCCTCCGGGACTGGGGTGGGAGATGTTGTGCCCAAGTGTCATAAACCCCAAAGACTACCAGGGAGCCGAATCCGATGCAATTGCAGAAAGCCTGTATTTATTTCGGACTAGTCCGAGCCCAGTCTCACCTACACCAACGAGGGCATGGGCGAGAAAGAGGAAGAACTTAACATATCAATGGGTTTTATAGGGAGGGTGGTGCTGCTACCTTGGCTGACCTGATTGGTTGGGTTAGGCCTAGGGTCCAGTTACCTGGAGCTGGACCCGCCCCCACCTGCCCTCTCACCCCACCTGCCCTCTCGCCCCGCCTGCCCCCTCACCCCGCCCTGCCCTCTCAGGGGACAGGACATAGCTTCCTTGGAGGCCTAGCCCTGTCTGGGGAGCTGCCGTGGACGCTGTGGATGTGGATTCAAGACAAGGGCGGAGTGTGGGGAGCCAACACGGAAGGGCTGGGAGATGGCGCTGCAGACTTCATGGGGAAGGAAGGGGTCAGTTTCCGGGAACCATCCCCTGGCTGTCCACTTCCAGCCTGGTTTCTGGGCTAGTGCGTGGGAGCTCAGTTTGAGCGGCGTGTGTGGGGGTGGGGGGTGGGGGCGGCCTGGACAGAAAGTTTCTCCGCTGCCCAGAAATCTTTGAACCTGTAATTGGAGCAGTCACAGCTGGTGGGCGCTGTAGACAGGAGTTTAAAAGGAACCAACCAAAGGCTCTTTCAGCTGCAAGCTGGGAAAAACCCCGGGCAGCAGAGACCTGCCCGATTCTCAGAAAGAGCCTTCGGTTGTAATGTTATGCCAGTGGCTGGCCCTGTCCCCTGTGGCGTCTGGAGGCTGCTCAGGTGTTTGCACACGAGACCCAAAGCCAGCCCAGCCCTGACCTCTGGATTCAGGAGGAGGTGGGTGTGCCACCAGCTGTGTTTGTTCAAAGCTAAGCCTCTGCAGGCGGCTGAATCCTTTGGAGATGTGAGCTCTTTCTGGCACTGCTGCAGGGTCAGCTTGGGGCAGATACTGAGTGGGAGGCGGCCCACTAGGGTACAGGATGTGGCTCTGAACCCTGGGCCATTGCTAATTTGGGACTAACGCCCACAGTTAGCAGAGAGGCCTTGCAAGGTAGGGTCTTGTCTTTCTAGGACCATAGATGAAGAGGCCTCCATCTCCTGGGCCTGGGTGGGTGGGTGAGCTGCTTCTATGGGAACGTGGCCACCTAAAGGTTCCTGTCGTGTCTCCTGGGCTGGCTATGGGAAATGGCACACTTTTCCAAATTTAAAATGACCCACTAGGAAACAGAGGCATGGGGAAAAATGAGACATCTTGCTGATTCCCATTGGGTTATTTAAAAAAATGGGCTGGGGCCTTTCCACCTCCCTTTGTCAAGGAAAATCATCCTAGAATATGTGCTATCAGCCATGTGTCCCTCTCCGCACCACCCCTCGCTTCCTGTTTGCTCTGGGGAAATTCAGTAACCACCTGGCCACATTGTTTCTTTTCTATGAAGATGACGCACAGAAGCATGCTTCCTACACGGCTGATGGGAGGACCTGGGGCACCAGAGGCCAGCTGCCAGGCCTCTGCTGCCCCTCACTCAGCTCTGCCTGCCTCCTTGCCCTCAGCAACCACCATTCCTGCTTCCACACTTACCTCCCAGCTTCATTTCCTCACCCTTTGCCATCAAGTGGCCATGTGGCTGGTCTCAATTCTGGGCTCTGCAGGTAGGTGCACGCCTCAGCCAGGGGGGCGTGGCAGGTGACAGATTCTCTGCTCTCTTAAGCCTTCCACTGGGACCCTCTGCACCCTTCACCTGCCTGTCTTCAGCAAGAGTCCTGGTGGGTGGATTTAGCCAGAATTTCCCCTCACCCCTGCTGTTTTCTTAATATTTTTCTTAATATTTAAAGTAATATTAATAGTAATTCACAGAGATAATTACTATCCCCATATCTTAGTAGTAACTTTCCACCCACTGATACCTCCTCCCCACCCCACCCGCACCTGCTCCTTGGCTCTTGGAGAAGAGAATTTTCCTTGACCCTCACAGGATCCCTGGCTGGGCCTGAGAACTAAACTGACAAAGAATCGTCATCAGGAGAAAAGCATTCACTTTTATTTAATTTTATAAGTTTGCTGACGTGGGAGACTTCACAGGAATTGAAGACCCAAAGAAACAGCTACTCTGAGTGTGTCATGCTGGTTTGATGGGCGTGGACAGCTGTGGCAGAGGATGACGGCTCAAGCAGTGATCAGGTGTATGTCATCCAGTGTTTCTGAGACCACACTGATCTGCTTCCACATTCATGGTGGCCAGGCATGTAAGTTCAGGGCTGGGTTAAAAGTCTTTGGTTTTTTGGACACAGACAGTAGGGGGGTGAGAGCATGTGCTGGGGTGGGAGCAGCTGGGGAGAGGTCAATGGGGGAAAAAGGAGACTCATGTAATACTTTGAACAATAAATTTTTTTTTAAGTTTTTGGTTTTGCCTGACCAACTAAGAACTGCAATAAAATCTTAGCCAGAACATAAATATATTCATTTGATTACTTAATTACATATTCTGTTAGTAAAAGGGTGGGAAAGAAAAGAGAAATGAAGACAAGAGAGGAAAAACAAAATCATACGTTTATTTTATCCTTATACCCTATCAGAATGGAGTGGGCAGACAGGGGAGGCTCTGCCCAGGAGCGCTGTTGCTGGTGGGAGGTGGCTCTGTGTGGTGCTGTCCCTCACCCCTTCCCTGCTGTCCCCGACCCTCAGCCTCAGGCTGCAGACCTTGCTGTGCCCCATCTGGAATTCTTGATCAAGGCTAGCTCTCCCACTCCTTCCAGTCCGCTGGATGCCACTTTCTCAGTGGGGACTTCCCTGGCCCCTGGTTCCCTCTCCCATCTCTTTGCCCAGGTGTGAGCTGCTGCTCCCAGGCTCCTGTGAATGGAGGACAATAATCTTACACACTCAGCTGGTTGGCAGGCAGGGCTGAGCCTGTGGCGAGTCTGTATTTTTATTATTGTTATTGTCGTGTGGGGCTGGGTGGTGCTGGGCAGGTGCCATGAGAATGTCAGGCAGGAGTGATCTCCCACAGGGGGCACCTTAGCTGAAACCTGGGGAAGAGAGGGTTTTCTGGCCAAGGACAGAGTGGAGAGATGAAGACAGGTTGCCACCAAGCAGTGGTCAGGTTTCATGACAATGGCACATGCAGGGAAGGATCCTGAGCTGCCATGTCAGGGATTCACTCAGGGCAGGAGGAGGATCTGTCTCAGACTCAACACAGAAAACCTCTGGTGGAGGACCCTCAGAGGGGCTGGTGACTGTTTCCAAATCAAGTCATGCCATCATTAAAGTTCCCCGGATTACTTCCAGAGCATTTTATTAGAACACAATTCTGACCCAGAAGGAAATTCTGCCCAGACCAGACGAGGGGCAATTTCCAAGAAACTACATGGAGTTCGGAGCATCTTCTTCAGCAGATCCAATATGTGGTCCTCCAAGTGGCAGCCTGGGGACTTACGGCCTGGCATCCAGGATGCCCGGTAGATCTGGTGCTGGTCGGCTGAGGTGGGCTGAGAGCTGGCTGCCATTCT